TGGAATTTACCCTAAGAATGCAGGATCCCAGTTTCAAAAAGACATATGCACCCCTATGTTTATTGCAGCACTATTTACAATAGCCAAGAAATGGAAGCAACCTAAGTGTCCATCAGTATATGATGAATGGATAAAGAAGATGTGGTACATATACACAATGGAGTATTATTCAGCCATAAGAAGGAAACAAATCCTACCATTTGCAACAACATGGATGGAGCTGGAGGGTATTATGCTCAGTGAAATAAGCCAGGCGGAGAAAGAGAAGTATCAAATGATTTCACTCATATGTGCAGTATAAGAATAAAGAAAAACTGAAGGCACAAAACAGCAGCCGACTCACAGAACCCAAGAATGGACTAACAGTTGCCAAAGGGAAAAGGACTGGGGGTGGGTGGTGGGGTGGGAATGGAGGCAGAAGGGGAATAAGGGACATTAAGATTAGCACACATAATGTAGGGGGGACGCGGGAAAGGCAGTATAGCACAGAGAAGACAAGTAGTGACTCTATAGCATCTTAGTATGCTGACGGACAGTGACTATAATGAGGTATGTGATGGGAACTTGATAATGGGGGGAATCTAGTAACCACAATGTTGCTCATGTAATTGTATATTAATAATACCAAAAAACCAATTTTGTTTCCTTGTGTAGTCATGCCAAGCATTTATATATTAAAATATTTTATTACAATAACACCAAAAAAAATAAATAAATAAATAAAGCAGGGGGTATGTGGTGGGCTTTTTACTTTACTTTAAAAATGGAAAGTTATCCGGGTTTCCTTTGTCCAGCACACGAACAGGGACATAAACTATAGGCAGGTTTTTCATTTTTGGGTGTCTCTGTGAAGTCAAGAACAGTCTATCTTTTAAATTATTTTGGCTAGGGGTTTCAACCTCAGCACTGTTGACATTCTTGGGCTGGAGAATTCTTTGTTGAGAGGCTGTTCTATGCATTTCAGGATGTTTGGCAGCATCCCTGCTTTATCCACTAGATGTCAGTACATCCTTCCAACTGTCACAACCAAAAATGTCTCCAGATGGTGCCACATGTCCCCTGACAGACAAGAATCACCTGCAGGTCCCAAACCCTTTTTTTTAGCAATGAGATGTTCTCTGCTCTGGGCACTTTGGTTCCTACTTGCCCAGCAGGGAGCCTAGGATGCACCCGCTTATCGCTAGTGTGGCCAAAATGTAGTGTTGGGGGCAGGAAGCTTTGGGTGGTGGGAACTGAACCCCAAGACTGGAGGTGGGCACTCAGTGCTGCACCCCCTTAGGGGTGCTGTTCTGTGCATGGGCCAGTCACCAAGCCCAGGGTGTCAGGAAAGGTCTTAGACAACCAGAGGAAGGATAAGGTCCTGGGTTCAGGGAAGGAAAGCATCAGAGGAGGCTGGGAGAGGATGCGAACTCCTTTCTCAGGATGCGAGCTCCCAGCTGGCTGGTTGCAACCTTAGGGTGTGAAGAATGGTCTCTGTCTCCCTCACCCCTGCCTGTTGTTATTAAAACAACCTTCTTTGCAATTCACTTAACCACCTTCCCTTTCCATCCTCTGATCTAAATTCCTCCCCCTTGCCCGCTCCCTGGGGCCTCAGCACACCCCAAGCCTTCCAGCTCAGGGGCCTCTCCAGCCAAATCATCACTGATTCAGTTCAATGCACGACAGTCTCCCCAAATTCAAGGGCGCTCCGCTGCTGGCCACATTTGTTTTCTCAAAGCTCTGCCCACCCTCCCTCACATGAGAGGTGTGTCTTCTGTAAAAAGTGTAATTCTTGCCAGCCCTTTGAAGAGTTCCAAGGCATAAAGTGAGCAGTGGCCTGGGAGGGAGGGGGATGTGCACCCGGAGGCTACTGTGCAGTGCCAAAGAATATGGGGACAAGGTCAGAAAAATGTCACCCCTGGAAATGAAATTAGTTTCAAACAACTGTACCATGGCTGTGTTTGGCAGCTGCGGAAGTGACTCCTCCTCCTACAGAGAGCCAGCCTCCCTCCCTGGGGATGGGGACGGGGCACACCTGCCAGGATGTGGCCCAAGGCGAGTCACTTCACCTCTGTTAGCTCAGTCCGTGAACAACAGATGGAGAGGAGATGCTACGTAACTATCATGAGAAACAAAACCCACAAACATGTCCCGCCCCACCCAGGCCACATAACCTAAGGTTGGGCCATTTGCAAGCAGGCATTTTGTGTGGCCAGTCCCTTTTAATGAGGTAGTGCTTACTCCTGAGGAGTTCATGAACAGCTTTCCAACTCCCCACCACACTCAGCCCCAGGACTGGCTGACGCAGCCCCTGTAAGGCGGGCACATGCACCCTGAGGCTGCCTGGTGGCTTCCTGGAGTTGGTGTCCTTCGCAACTGTGATATAATGAGTTATATCACATTATATATATATATATATATA